GTGTTTATATGCATTCCTCGTAGGTCTTTTAGTAGTAACTACTTTGGAGTTTTTTACGGCGATAGAGGACTGCATATCAGCATCGCATTTTTGACAGTTAACCACCTTTTCGGTCAACAGAGGTAATCAGGTCTGCACTTTGAAATCATTGAGAGGCTGATGCTCTCACTGTTCCTTGCCGACTCCGTGACAGGTAGAGGGGAGAGCGATTTTCACGCTCGACGAGGAGGTCATAAGCCTACTTCCCCTTGTTTCTACTTCCCTCTCCAACCTCGGTCTGCCTGTTTCCTGGGCTTCAGCCGCTATTAGAAGCGGAGATACGAGGGTAGTGAAGCAATATCTCATTAAAATTGGCATGAGTCTACCAGTAAGGTCCTGTGATGGCTGCTGATTAGTCATTAAACGCTAAAAATTGAACCTAAGAAAGGTTTTTACGAGCTTTTGAGGTTGGTTGGAACGAGGAGTAGGTGGATTATTAGTTAGGTTGATTGGTATTTGGGTAAACAAGGGAGGCGCAAGTAGACGGGCAAACAAGGAGACCGGAGGAGATGAACAAGGACTAGTTCAAATCTCCAAGGCTAAGGAAGAAGTGAGCGGAGGAGAAAGGTCAAAGTTCAAAATGTGTCAGTGAGTTGGAGGTAAATAGAATCTCTTCCGTAAAGGGACAGTTCGCTTTTTACTTCTTTTAGTCTTCAAATGAGATTAAACCATTCATTAACTTATTACCCGAGACGATGTTCCGTAGCGGTGGATGCTAGACAAACTAGATGGTTCAGCTGTGTATAAGTGCCAATCTTGAAGTTGGAAGCAGGCAGGAAGTCGCTCAGACCCGGTACCACCTGACATTCATTTACCAGCACACACCGGGCAATGGTCGTCCCATTCTCCCCTTCCCAATCATTCGTTTCATGTGCCATTCGAAATCGAAAAACGATACATGGATAAGTGAGGACTTATTGGCTGGAAAGGTGGAGTATGTTTGAATAACGAGATCAATGAATAAAAGGGATGGAAGATGATTCAATGGATAAACGGAAATTTGTGCCGGCAGTTAAATCAGACGTACCAAGGAATGAGGAGATAGGAATGCACGAAAGGAGAAAGAAAAGATACCTAGTTTACATTCAAAAAAGAATTAAGCGGCTGTGGAGACGAAAAGACCGCAACCAAGCCATATGTCGCGCCCCCACGATATGCCCACTCGCCAATTCACACAGTGCCTCAAACATAACTTGAGGCACTACATCGTCCACCTCGAACGATCCAGCGCAGACAATGTCCACACTGCACACAAACACACCAATTTCGTGGGACAGAGTTGAGGATGGAGTGGTTTGTCCTCTCACAACTATGTCACCACGTCGCCCGGGGGGCGTCGAGGAGAGCTGAAATGGTGAGACGGAGGACGCTGGTGTCGGCAGTGTTGGTGATGTGTTGTCGTAATGGAGCAGCCTCAAGTGGCACAAGTACCACATTTAGAATTCGGTTTGATGTGTAGGTCTGCATTACTGTGAGGTGATGTGAGTGCAGGTGCATTGGCGTGTGTGCGTGCTTGAGTGTGGGTGTGTGGCTACATTTGGTTGAGAATGTCAGTGTCAGTGGTGAGTGCTCACTGTTGTGCCTCATGACCAAGTGCATGTGTGACAACTCATATGCAGTGGTGGTGACGATGACGGTTCCAATGAAGCGCTTGTCGATGGAGAATGCAAGGCGACTTGATGTGC